AAAGGGGATTTGAAAGATTGATTGGAAAAAGATGAAGCAAAGTGAACTCCAACAAATGTCAAGTTGAAAAACCCAATTTAAGGGTGACATCATGTGTTCAACACAAGTGTGCTTGCATTGTAAAGCTACCATACAATACTGTGCCTTGGTTTCGAAAAGGCTTTTTATCATGAAACATATCTGTCGTTCTTAAATGTCACCACTTCTTAGTTAGTTGGTATAGGTGAGAAAGCTCATAACATTGACCAATTATAGGTGTCATTGCCTTGGAAGGAGGGAATGCTTCAAGGATTCAATCCATACGTGAAATTTAGTAATACACGTTTCTCCAAACCTACCGTTGTGTCCACAGCTTTAACTTTTGTTATTGGTACATGAACTACAGTAGGACTATCTTTGGTAGCAAACAATGATCCTTGTTCACCTAATGTTAGTATAACAGTATTACAGCCCTGATCTAACAGTGCTTTAACAGCTATTTTACCTTCCTCCAGTGATTTTACACTTAAACCTGTCAGAATTTCTGCCTGAAAATACAACCCATTTCATAAAAAGACTGTTTACAATGCAAAATAGTGGATTTCCTTATCAATTTTGACAATATCTTGTGTCATATTTGGATTTCATCTTCATACCATTTCAATCATGTTTCTATATCATTCATATTATGTTTTATACAATTACTTTATATTTTATCATGTTTCACTACTGCATATTCGTCTGTATATTGTTTCAATCATGTTTCTACACCGTTCGTAAATATATCATGCAATTACTTTATATTTTATCATGTTTCACTACTGCAAATTCATCGTTATACTGTTTTAATCATATTTCTATACAATTACTCTATATTTTATCATGTTTCACTACTGCATATTTGTCTGTATATTGTTTCAATCATGTTTCTACACCGTTCGTAAATATATCATGCAATTACTCTATATCTTATCATGTTTCACTACTGCATATTTATCTTTATACTGTTTCAATCATGTTTCTATACCATTCATACATGTATCATACAATTACTTTATATTTTATCATGTTTCACTACTGCAAATTCATCGTTATACTGTTTTAATCATATTTCTATACAATTACTCTATATTTTATCATGTTTCACTACTGCATATTTGTCTGTATATTGTTTCAATCATGTTTCTACACCGTTCGTAAATATATCATGCAATTACTTTATATTTTATCATGTTTCACTACTGCATATTTATCTTTATACTGTTTTAATATTTCTATACAATTACTCTATATTTTATCATGTTTCACTACTGCATATTTATCTTTATACTGTTTTAATCATATTTCTATACAATTACTCTATATTTTATCATGTTTCACTACTGCATATTTGTCTGTATATTGTTTCAATCATGTTTCTACACCGTTCGTAAATATATCATGCAATTAC